CCAGGCATCCAACTTCAGCATTCCACCTAGGAGAAACAAGAAAAACTGTATTTTTTTCCCTTTTTCCATTTTCTCTCCATTGCACAATTGGTTTACTTCATTTCAAATTTTTTCTAATCAGGATCTACATAATAACAGGAACATCTAATGTGCACATGTATTTCACCGTGTCATAAGCCATGCTTCCATCAGTGTTTTTTTATGCACATTTTGAAGTATCGCAAAAAAGAAAAAAAAACTTCTTGAATTTCACAAAAACGATTTTATGTTCGGATGAGGTGGTTTTTGGATCTTCTGAAAAAGTTTTTCTTTAACCTTTATCTAACAGGCAAATCCCATTAAGATCACAGATCTTTCTTTCAAGAAAGATCTGTTGTACAGTGATCCCTCGCTATAACGCGGTTCACCTTTCACTGTCTCACTGCTTCGCGGGTTTTTTTGTGCAGTTTTTTTTTCCACAGTGCATTGTGTTCTTTGTCCTGATTGGCTAAACAGTCTCTGTGCTCAACCGGCCATCAACATGTCAGAGCCAGTCGGATGATTTAAAAAACAATAAATAACACCAAATAACCATCTTCCAACCTGTTCTGCTGATAGAAATAAGTTCTTGACTTTTTCCGCTCTTCTTTCCTCCTGCTTTGCAGCAGGTGCTGCCGRTGAAAAATAAAATCCGTCAGCTCGCAGCTCCTGTGGCGAAACTAACCGAACAAACCGCCTCTTATTTATCTGGTGTGCGCAACATTCGCTTGCTCTTTAGTAAATAAAGCAAAGCCATTTTCTTTATTTCATCTTTATTTGACCTGTCATTAAAGACAGACCGATGTTCCTCCCTCTTCAGACACGCGTTTAGTCCGCTGCTGCGTTCAACACCGAACGCGCGTCAGTGCGTCCAAGGCGTTGGGTACATTTTTGCTGCTCAAATCGCGTTCGGTGGGAACCCAGTGTACCGGCTTAACTACTCCACGGATTTCGCCTATCACGGGTTGTTTTTGGAACGCAACCCCCACGAAAAACGAGAGATCACTGTACAAGTTTTTGTGTTGTGGGTGAATCCGGAGTACCCGAAGAAGACCCACACAAGCACGAGGAGAACATGCAAACTCCACAGAAAGACCCCAGGTCCGAATCGGGGATCGAACCCAGGACCTTCTTGCTGTGAGGCGTCAGTGCTAACCACTTATCCATCGTGCTGCCAAATGCACAGAAGCGAAGGTGGAAACACATTTGCCGAATCAGTTCCGACGTAGCAAATATTTACCTCTCATGAATGATCAGCTGTTCCTGCTGTTGGTGTCTTCATGAATATCACCGTAAGTACTGCATTTCTTTCTGTACATCTCCAGACAGCATTTAACATCGAACTTGTCCGACATCAACACATTCCTGAAAACCTCTCTTTGTTGTCTCGAGGTGTGTGGTCCCTGCGAGTTTACAACCTCTACTTCCTGTTTATTACAGCCATGTGTAACATCAACATCTGAAGTAACTGCATTTTGCGTAGCTTGGCTGATTCGCTCCAAGTCAGTAGATGGAAACATATTTAATTTGCTTTATTTTTTTACAACATTTTAAAATTTCATTCAAAATTCGCATTACAATTGAATTGAAACATAGCTACAGATATGCCCAGATTTCTGCATGTTGTCATTTGTATAGAATATCACAGGTGGAGGTTAAAAAAAATAAAATCACGTTTGGTGTTTTAGCAATGCAGCTCTGGGAGTTCTCAAAGGGGGATTCGGCGAGTTTCCGCTTCGGTGGCTCAGTGTTGGGATTGCGGGTGCACAACTCTGTCAGATGCAATTAGGAGGAGTTGATTCCAGGAAAACCTGTGACATTTCAAACATGATGTAAGCTACAGTTACCTCATCCATTTCTCTCTCAGAACAGCCTGACAAATGGTCCAAATGCTGAAACACACACACACACACACACACACACCACCACCACCACCACCACCACCACCACCACCAACTTGCTGACATTCCCAGGAGTTTTGGTTCTGTACCTGTGGTAAACATTTCACTTGCTAACCCACACACATATATTCATGTCCTGCTGCCTGGCTCTCTTCAGGTGCGTTCTCATGAGTGCTCTGCCATTTCTGATCCATCAGTAGCTGAGTTTTGCAGGTGGTCAAGGGAAAACGAGAAGCTGGTTTAGTTCACACGGAAACACCAGACACAACTCTGTTCGTCTTGGCACCGAGCCCTACGAGTCATCGCATCAGTGAATCTTAAAAGGAGCCCATGAACATAACCTGTTGTTATTCAGTGTGAAAACCGGCCACAGGACTTCAGTGCTAATGACCGCCACACAGCTGTTGATTGTTAAGCCGTATTGTAGTGGAGATGAGTTGTATTCTTACAACGTTGGTGGTCTGCTGTGAAAGTGCTCTCGTTTTTTGATTGCTTATGTTTCTTTCTTTAACTAGACAAGGAAAGGTTAGGTAGCTTTTGCTTGAAAGGAGTGCAAATCAAGGTTGTAATGGAACGATATTAAAAAAAAAAGAAGAAGCAGCATATTTCCTTTCCAGTTCTGGGATTCCCCTAGTGTTGTAAAGGCCCACAAAGTATCAGCATGGATAACATGGTTTGATGGTTAGCAGACCACTAAGTCCTGATGTGTAACAGGGGGAATCCAAAGAACTGTACCTGTTGTGTAAGAACAGAGATGTGTAGTGATCTTGCAGGGGATGAGTAATCGGGCAGACGACAAAGGGAGTTACGATGATCTGTTTGCATGAAAAGGAACATTGAGCCTTGCTCCTGACTTTCCATGAAACGCTGTCGTTTCCTGGGCACGGGTTACAGGAGAGAATATCTGTGGGACTCATTAGAAGAAAAAAATGTCCGTCCCACAGCAAAACCATACTTATTCTTCTGGAATGCTATTAATGATTTTTTTTTAACAACAATAACTTTTAGATTTATGTTTTCAGTTGAAAATTTGTCGAAATTTATTGCTGAGCTCAGTACCTAGAAATATGTTTAAAAAAAAGAAAGAAATTCATAAGTTATGTTGTTGGTTTTTTTGGTCCYCGTGATCCATTGCCAGAGACATTTCCTGAGTGTCCCTTAAAACCCTCAACTGTCTGTGATCTTTATAATTTGTTTTCAGTTGTTTACTGCTCGTACTAGCTGACTGCATGGAAAAAATAGGAAGGAGGAACTGCGACAGTTCATCAAATGTTCTGAGCTGATAGAATGCCACAGCGTAGTTTTTATTAATCCTCCGTGTCTGAGCAGAAGTCTTCTGGGGAAAAATCAACCATTCTTGTCTGTGTTTTTATTTATTTTAGGTGTGGTCAATAAGTACGATTGTTTCTGACAAAAAAGTTTTGTCCAGGCTTTTAAAAGCTCTTTTAACCTCACAGTAACTTTACTGCCCTCTTGTGTTTCTTAAAGGAGAAATTGGTCACGTTGAAAACCATTATAAATGCAGTTTTTTGTCCCATATTTATCTCATCATAAAATGATGCACACCTTTCCGTAAAGTTATTTTATTTGACCTCTATCKCTATACTATAGTTTTTATATTGTAAAAAGTCCTTTATATGCCTCAGTAAAAATTTGCGAGACGGTCTTTAACATTAAAACGCATTAATGTCAAGTTGTACAGATTGTCTGTAAATTACGTTTCTTACATTTTTCATGTATAGACACATATAGGATTACAGATTTTTTTTCAAAAACATTGCTTCAAATTTATTTAAGTCTCAAGTTTGCCACCTCCCCGCCCTCCTTTCCCTGCTTCTCTGATGCTGTTCTCTCTGCTCCACGTTCTTTGTTTCCCCACTGCTAACAGTGTGACTGTCTGCTCCAAACATCCCCACATTGTGTCGATGTGAGTCCTATGGATGTTTTGTAAAAATTYCCGATTCATGAAGGTGAAAATKCATGAACGWTTGAAGAGGTYGACATGTATGGAAGCTGTTCTTCTTTCTCAGCTGGACGTTGCTGTAGAGTTCAGTCTCATTGCGTCACACAAAATAGCTTTAGCTTGGATGTGAAGAGCAAAAAGGCATTTGCATTGTGCGCAGTAAACATTTACAYAGTAGAAAAAAGCAGTTCCACTTGCATGCAGGTTGCAGAATCGAAATCTTCACGGCTCAGAACAGCTGATTGGCTTCACACAAAGCAGGACGTCAACAGCTGATGCACCTGGTTTGTAGAAGCAAACAAAGCTGAAACTGGTGGTCTGCATGAGTACAGTACATGTGTGAAGACTGGTCAACATGTGGACATTTGTCCAAAAACACAGCAGCATTTAGGGGATYTGGATCATCCAGGGTGCTGGAGGGTCTTCACAAAACTCCAGGCTGGATTATTTAATTAAATGGTTTAAAAAAAAAGGAAAAAGAAAAGTACAAGGCCTTTTTTATTTAATTTTTTTAATTTTATTTTTAACCTGAAATGTGGACCTTTTCTGAACTAAGTTAAAAATTCAAATAAGTTACTCAAGTTTGATATTTTTATTTCAGGCTGAGACATTTGTATACGCTCCTTAAATTCTCCCCAAAACGATCAGAAATCATCAGTCCAAAGACTTTCTCMGTTTTCCACCCAGTGGAAGGATTTTAAAGGTTAGAAATATGTAGATGCAATCACTCTTCTCAGTGAGGAAAGAAATGTCAAAATAACTTCAAAATCAGAGGAGTTAGGAAAAGCTGAGTTCTGTAGATGAGCTCTGGACATCCTGTGGAGCTTGAAGGTGAAAGAAGTGAGTATATTTATTAGCTGTTGAAAAGAACCATTAATTTCTACATTAATAGCTCCTTGTTGCAAAGTTGACACAATCGTATAGTTCTGCTGCACCCCACTTCAAAATTAAACTTTGATTAAAACTATTGAAGGAAAGGGAAAATGCAGAATAAAAGAAGACTAATCTCTGTGGTATGTTTCCAGTCTTTAAGTCAACAACGAGCATACACTGAATAAAACCTCTAAAAAGCTAAATATTATCAGGCTACTTATGTAAGTCATTACTGTGTCTTTCAGGTACCGTGCAGTCTGGAGTACTGGGATGAGCTCCAGCAGAGCTTTGTTCCATACCGGGAGTTCAACCTGTCAGAAAGCTGCTCCTGCCAGCTGCAGCTGCCCAGCCTCAGCCTCACCGATCAGCCCAAGGAGATCGTGGCCTCGGACCTGTGGAGGATTGTGCTCAATAATAACAGCGAGGGAGGCGATGAACAGAGGTGAAATGTTTCTTTTGGACCGTATTTATCTCYGGCTCTTTTATGTTAGGAGGTTGCTCGTACGCACACACAGGTGAGAGTGGGTGTGTGTGGATCTGCAGACTCGGTGCCGTCCAGCGTGAGGAAAAACAGAGGCTCGTTGCACCCAGGCTGCTGAGCGCAGAGAGCTGAAAATGTGTCCCTCGCCCCACATCTGGTGTGCAGGAGCAGGGAGCAGGCTTGGAAAGCGTTCAGATGGGCCTAATGAGATTTCCCAGCACACCAAGTGCCTGTCAGGGCCCATCCGGATTCCTTCCTGCTTACCTTGACTGTATCTAATCGAGGGGAAGCTCAGGGGAAGCACCAGGAGTCAAGCCCCACTTCGGGTTGGCTCGTGAGCTTTCAGGCCTTTCTCAGCCTGGGCCAGGCCGGGCCGGGCCGGGCCGAGCACCGTAGCACCTCACAGATCATGTTTTTACTCCATTCTTCTTTCTGCCACTGTTTCCTCTCTCCGTCTCCCTCGTGTCTTTCCCAGCCTACTGGTACTTTTCTATAGCCTGGACCGTGTTTCCTTTTTGTTTTCTCAGTCCTTTCTCATCTTTCTTTACTCTTTTTTTTCCCCTTCCCTCTCCCATTTATACTTCCTTTTGGGAGTTTAGAAAGCATTTTGTATAAAAGAAATGTCAATCCCACATTGTGTGTGAGTCAGACAACTTAAAAAAGTTGAGTAGGAGGAGAAATAAAACATTTAAGAAAAGATAGAGCTTCAGGACCAGGTTCTATGTCAAGTAAAATATACATCTGCAGTTCATTACAATCATACTCCAAACACTACATTTCCTTCATGTTTAAATTATTTGTCTTTTTTGATCAAAATTGATTCCCCTTTCCTTATTTTCTTATTTCATCTGCCGTACTTTAGTTTCCAGCAGAAACATAACTTGGCTGCCCTGCCAACTGGAAGTAATGAAAATTGTCAACATATGATGGTTATCTTTTTAAAGAGCACTCCGCTGMATCCACATTTTTCACGTTTTGAGAGTTTTCCTCTATTAGTGGATCATGGTAGCTGCAAATTACAGAACAAATGGGCATTCATTTCAATTACTTCCCATTCCACATCATCAGCCCTGACATGTAATTAATGTCCACAGAGGGGTCCTCCTGGAAACTCCTGGCATAATAATTTACCTAACTGCYCCGGACAGGAAGGAGGCCCTCACCACAATGTTGTCTCTTTCATCCCAACTTTTCTGTCACCATTTTGAAAAAAGCAGARTGTAATTTATGTGATCATTATCCCATAAATATGCCTTTCCTTTAACTGTTCAAAATCAAATTTTAAAGGAAGAKTTATTTATAATTTATGAAACAAACACAAAACAGTTGTACATTTTCACTTAAAAGTAAAACTATGTGAGCAGCTTGTTTCTTTGTTTCCCTGCACTTCTTTTATTGTCTGTTTTCTGACTTTCCTCCCCTCCTCCAGCTCTGACAGTGAGAGTGGGTCACAGCTTCACTGCGATCAGTTGGTGTCTCCCATAGCTCTGGCAGCTTGTACCCGAGTGGACTCCTGCTTCGCCCCCTGGTTCGTCCCCTCGCTGGGTGTGTCCCTGCAGCTAGCACAGCTGCAGCTTCGCCTCTGCCATCACCTTGAACAGCTGGGTACAGGTCAGCATAAAGGTCACATTTCAGATGTAATAAAACTTGACAAACTTATTTTTTAATGTTTAATCTTCACTAAAATAAATCAGTCACTCCAGAACTTTAGAGTTKGGATTTCACAAAGCTTCTTGTATGAAAGGCAAATGTGTCAAATAAATGTGTCCCCTTTCAGGTTTATGTGTTGGGTGTTGTGTGAATGCTGAGTCAGCATTAACTATTCTAATATCAACATATTCAGCTCAGCGACTTTTGTTTTATGTCAATTTTAAATTTTTTAATTCTTCTTTAAAGGGGCAATATCATGTAAATCAACATTTTTGAGTTTTATTTTATGTTATAATGTTGTCCTCTTGAAGACATTTATTGGGGTTTGTTTACTTCTGACTTTTAAAAGCACCACACATTTTATAGTCTTTTCTTAGRTGAATAATGATATACAGTATTTTTATGAACTGTTGTGTGACTAGTTTTGKTATTAAATTGATGATTTTGTGTACAGACTGGTATGGGTGGCTGTAAACTATAGTTACACAGGGCAGGAGGGMCTATTAGATTAGCTGCATGCCTGAACACACGCGCTTTTGTGTGATATAACTCTTTTCACATTCAAATATTGGTGTATTTTCGATCTGGTTACAAACACGTATTAAGGTAAATGAACACGCCTAATTCTCCTATTTTCTTTCACTCTCATCAAAAATATGCCCAGAGTCTTGCTTTGACTCATTCATGCATGTTTGAGAAATCCTGTGCTGTCCTGAGGCAGCAAAAACTACCAGTTGGGCCTAGAACCGCCTTTTGGGATCAGCTCCTCCTCTGGGCTGTGTCTCCAAGCTGAGCTTCCTCATCACAGAGCACACACACACACACACACACACACACA